TTAAAGGTAAATATACAAGTCACCCGCTATGGGGACAAAGGCTGGTGTTTATTTAAATCATAAGACCTCTGGTATCCACAAACATATGCAGTATTTCTCCATGATAATCATTATTATGCGGTCCTCAATGTAAAAGCCCTTTTGGTACTAAAAATTACTGTCTGTTTTGCCACAAATTGTACAATCACAGTCACAACTGTTTATTTTCCTGCAGGCTCTGCTTAAGAAAGGACTGTTCTTCTAAAGTAGATCGAATGGAAAGGTGCACGCATTGCCAAATGATCTGCAGGTCAATAGAGTGTTTAACATTACATATAAATTTGGCTGCAGAGAACAAGGTGCCTTGCAGGCTCAGGAAATTTTGTGACAAGTGCAAATGTTTTCAGAATGAAGAGCATTTTACTAAGGACTGTGGTGGTCTGCAGTGTAATATCTGTTAGGGACATATGAAACAAGATGAAAAACATCTCTACTTCATGCAGCCTATAAAAGAGCCGGCAATCTCAACCCATTATATATTTAAGATATAGAAGCACATCAATCCACCAGAATTCATGTGGCTAATTACTGCTTCGCAAGAGCCTTTTAGGGGGAAACTTTAGACTGCTTTAAAGAGGGTGTCTCTGTGGAAGTTGGGGTTGGTGGTAGTGTACAGGTTTCTAGGGTGTAGACTTCTGATGAGGAATGGGAGGATTGTGATATTGATTCAGACTGTGAGGGTGAGGCTTCAGCCTCTCGTGAGGAGGAGAAGGGATCTGGGGGCACCAAGAAAAAGACTGAAAAAAAGGGGTGGCCTTATGGGAAAACCTGGGAGTTTAAGGGTGAGGCTTGCATAGCAGAGTTCATTCGGACTTTCACAAAAGGACGGCTTTTTGTGGGCACTACATTTATAGCCCATAATTCAAAAGGTTATGATGGTTATTTCATCCTCCACTAATTGATCAAAGAAAAACTGCAGGCAGACCTTATCGCTCAAGGGGGCAAACTTATATGTATAACAGTAAAAGCTCTAGGTATAAAATTCCTGGATTCTCTCAGCCATCTCCCCATGGTGCTCTCAAAGCTCCCCAAATGTCTTGGGTTTGAGCAGGAGTCTAAGGGATATTTCCCTCATTATTTCAGTACCCCTGAAAATAGTACAAGGGTCCCATGCCACTCCCTGAAGACTATGGGGTGCAATACATGATATGCTGAGAATCAGATGAAAACCTTTAACCTGCAGAGAGAACTGACTTTCTGTTGTCAGCAGGAAGTTAATACCCTGGTACAAGCCTGCACAAAATATCACCACAAGTTGATGGAATTGACAAAGATTAACAAAAAGCATGGTAATGAATATGCACTGAGCCACATAGACACCCTTCAATACCCCACCCTGGCTAGTGTGTGTCTTGCCATGTACAGATTCAGGTTTCTGGAGAAAAACACAATAGCTATTCCACAACCAGACAACTATCATAACTAGTGTAAAAGATACTGTATTTGCCGGCGTACAAGATGACTTTTTGGCCCTGAAAAACATGCCTCCGAGTGTGGGGGGGTCATCTTGTACGCCGGGTGCATGTCTAGCAAACCCTCCCTCTCTCCCAGCGAAGTCACTTACCTGGTAGTAAGACCCAGTAGAGCCCCGCTCCTAGCCTGGGAACAGCCTGACTCTAGCGCCAAACAGCTGACTGTCGGAACAGCAGAGAGGCGGCAGCCATTTTGAGATGTGACCACATGGCTAGTGCCTCTCCAAAATGGCTGCAGCCTCCAAAAAGGAACCAAAAGGGGCAAAAGGAACTCTTCCCATGATGCAGCCAAAGCAGAATCACGCATGCGGAAGAGGGGGTAGTCTTATACAGCAAGTATATAACAAACTCTACATTCTGAGTGGGAATGTTGGGGGGGGGCGTCTTATACTCCCAGTCGCCTTAAACACCGGCAAATACGGTACTCATTCTTGGCAATCCAATAGTGGTCTTATATAGCACATAAAGAAAAAAATCAGGATTCAGCATGCCTTGAATGGGGGAGAATTCCATATAGATAAATACTATGTGGATGGTTATATGATTGTGAATGGTTGGGGGGCTGTCTAGAATTCTTGGGGTGCTTTTTCCATGGCTGTGTCCTTTGTTATCATTCGGAGGATTGGAATCCTCTGGCAGGAAAAACATATGGGGCTGTTTACAATTCTACACAGGAAAGGGGAGCTGTACTGAAAGCAAGGGGTTTGAGACCAGATCAATTTGGGAACATGAGTGGAGAGCTATGCTAAAAACAGACAAAAAGAATTCCTTGCTTCAGCTGAGTTTCCAGAACCCTTAGAATTTATTTATTTATTTATTTATTTATTTTAATGTATTTATTTATTTATTTATTTGATTTATACCCCACCCATCTGGTCTAAAAGACCACTCTAGAACCTAGGGACACTCTCGTTGGTGGTTGTACAAATGTGGTCTGTTTGTACTACAAGCCTAAGCGTGGACAGCAGATTCATTACTATGATTTTACCAGCCTTTAGCCCTATGTCAACAAAACTAAAGAGTATCCTCTGGGCCACCCCGAAATCATTTTTGAGAACTTTGAACCTGTGTCTGCTTACTTTGGCTTTGTAAAAGCTAAAGTCTATCCACCAAGAGGCCTCTTTTTCCCAGTGCTACCCTCCAGGGTCAGCGGAAAACTCATGTTTATGCTGTGTGCCACTTGTGCAGAAGGCTATCAGCTAGATCCGTGTCAGCATTCTGATGAGGAGAGAGCCTTGCTGGGGACATGTTGTACTATCAAACTGTATGTGGCCATAGAGAAGGGCTACAGGGTTGTGAAAATCTATGAAGTGTGGCATTTTGAAAACAGATCAGCAGACCTGTTTTCAGAATACATGGAGCTACACCTTCACCACAAGCAGGAAGCCTCAGACTTTCCTGAGTGTTATGTAAGTGATTCCGATAAAAATAAATATGTATTTTTTTTTTTATTACAACAGTCACTCCTACCAATAGGGAAGGCAGAAAGTTGAATGTCTTAGGCTGTCGCCTATATTCTCTGGCTTCCTTTATTATGAGAGTCTTGAATTACCAAACTGAGATGGAAGCCTATCAGAGACAAATGGAGCAAGAGCTTCCCGGTCCTTCAGGCTGCTCCCGAGGAGATCAGAACCTCTGCCCTCAACACTCATCTTGAGGCCACAACGCTAACTAAACAGCAGCGTCTCGCAGCTTGCCACACGGCTGATGCTGCCTCAAAGGCTTTAGCCTCTATCTTGAGGCCTCAACGCTAACTAAACAGCAGCGTCTCGCAGCTTGCCACACGGCTGATGCTGCCTCAAAGGCTTTAGCCTCAGCTATTGCCCTCAGAAGGCAAGCTTGGTTGCACTCTGCAGGGATCAATGATGACGCTAGACAATTTGCACAAGATGCGTATGACCGCCCATCCTATTCTACCCAGCAGCCCAGATACCAACAGTGTAACCAATGGCACAGGCCCTTTACCTTTCAACAATACCAGCAACCCTATCGGACCTACAAATGTCCAGCTCTGGCTCCTGAAAGATCCAACCCTCCTCAGTATTTTGTGGTTCCTCCCTTCCATTCCCAGGCCCCTGCTCAGTGCAGAGAAGGTTTCCGTTGCCCTGCAAGAAAGAACAAGCAATATCTTTGACTCTCCTCTCCCGGACTGTCCTCATCATCCCCGGCTGGCTCCCTTTTTTGACAAGTGGGCCACCATCACCAAGGACACTTGGGTGCTCGCCATCATATGTTACAGTTACCTATTGGAATTCAAGGAGCTTTCTCCTCTCGGTCATGTCAGACCCACAACTTACTCACCTGCTCTAGAGGATGTGGTTACATTCCTTCTTTAAAAATGTGCTATCCAGAGGGTGCCTCCCCAAGATATTCTGAATGGTTTTTACTCATGTTACTTCATGGTGCCCAAAAAGGATGGAGGCCTCCATCCCATCTTGGACCTGCAACTTCTAAACACCTACATTCATCTGAGGTGCTTTCGCATGGTCACTCTCAAATCAGTCACCCCCACTGCTTCAGCCAGGCAACTGGTTCCTGGTTATAGATCTACAGGATGCATATTTTCATATTTCAATTCACAACCACCATTTCAGATATCTCTGTTTTCTTTTCACCAAATTAGGTTTGACTGTCAAACCGACAGTTCAATGCATTCCAATGGGGGAGAAAAAAATTCACCAAAAATTAACGAAGACTCAGAACAAAGCCAAATTAAGTTTGTACAGGTTTTGCGATGTGCACTAACGATCCAAAGCATTTAAAACTGTTTTTGAACATTGTAAGATACTTTAAAAAAAGCAAAAACGGACATCGCAAAACCATTGGAATGCATTGAATAGGCTTCAATGCATTCCGATGGGGGAAACATTGTATCGCTTAGCGAAGTTTCCTATGGCGATTTTCGCTTAAGGACGGTAATCCGTTCCCATTGGAACAGATTAACCGGTTTTCAATGCATTTCTATGGGAAATGGTGTTTTGCTTAGCGATGTTTTCCCATAGCGATTTTTTTTTGGGAACCAATTAACATTGTTAAGCAAGGCACCACTGTACTAACCACAGCCTGAATTGGATAGGAGAAAGCCAGGTGATTAAGTATCATTGCTAGGAAAACATCTTTGGAATGCTTGGGTATCCTGCTGCTCTCCAGATATTCTGGACTACAACTCTCGTAACCTCTGACTTGACAGTATAGTCCAAAATATCAGGAGGGCTCTAGATTAACAATGACAGCCCCCCCCCCATGTAGCCATTTCAAATTGAGCTGCTAAGTAGTAGTTAAAAACTGGCCCATAGCACAGAGCAAAGTAGAGTATGAATTTGTGTGGTACTGTGAATATGGTTGATTTAAATGATTAGGTGTTAAAGTCATCTGAGATTTGAATCAGAAGTTTTTGGTATGACTTTCTACTTCTGCTTTTAGATTATTCACAGTAAATGCAATAGTACTCAGCCTTCTTCAGCTTGGGCACTATTTTTCTCTTCATAGATAGTCTTCAGTTGGAAGGAAATCAATGTGTGGCTTCTGCAGTCTCAAGCCTTATGACTCCGATCGCCCAACCTGCCACGGCCAATTCAATCAATACATTTGTGGTGGAGTTTCCCAGAAAGCGCAAAGGAAGTGATTCTGATAACCAGTAAGTGACATGGCTTGTGTCTATCTGCGGAAAGGACAACATGGCTCTTGAATGACTGTTTTTAAAAAAAACACCTGTATTTTTTAATATATCTTAAAACACAATATATACCAAATGTTTTGGAAAAATCATCATTATTTTTGTGATTACATTCATTCTGCATTTCGAACTGCTTTTGCTCTATGTGTGTGTTCTGGAGCCATATATTAAATCCATGGCCAGGAAGTTGTTATTCTGTGCAATTAACTCTGCTGTTTTTCCCCCTGGGCTTTATGCTTTTGTCCTTTTGGTCCTTTTCTGTGATTTGTACTGCTTCCAGCTTAGCTGCTGTTTGTAAACTTCGTCATATCCAATGCTTTAGCTAAAATATTCCTACATCAATTGACATATTTGCATCATCTACCTGCACAGCCTGCGCTCATTTCATCGTCATGTTTTTATGGTTTCCTCCTATGTTCTGTTTACCATGATAATTTTAACAATTCAGTTGTGCTGGAAACAATGACGTTAGTAACTAAAAACAGGATAATTTAATTAGAGGAGATTAATTTTTAAATAATGCTTGGACAAATGATAAAAATCTTTCTCCTAGAATCTAAAAACTGGGTATGACTGTTTAACAAAGCATATGCAAAGAGATGTATATCCTGGGTATAATTTTTTTTCTACTAAAAAGCACCTTTTTGTAAAGCCTTCAAATTTTTATGAAGGGTGTCCAGATTTCACATTTTGCCTTTGAAGTGCAAATGTGAGAACCTACAAATCCTTTGGTTCTTGTATTTAACCTTTTCCCCAAAGTGCAGATTTCCTTGTCTTTGTTTTGGTATGCTGCTAACTGCCCCCAATACTTTCCCCCTTTAATTCTGAAATGATTTTCTTTAAACACACACACACACACGCACACACACACACACAGAGAGAGAGAGAGAGAGAGAGAGAGAGCTGAACACCTCTGTAAACCCTGCTCCCCATTTCTTGCGTCTGGGTTACACTTGATAGTAATGATCTAGCCAGACAGCTCAGTACAAACCTATTTCTTATTTAAAAAGATGTTAATAGCAGAAGCAGTAAGTATGTGAAGAATAGATACATATGGGTAGTTATTGTCATATGTCATAAGCAACCTTAGTAGATTTCACAAAATTTTAGTTCTTCATCGTCTTGGAACTGCAGAGCTGGATGAGGCCCTATGGATTGAGGAGGCACAGTGTGGAATTGAACTCCCAGCCTCTGGCTCTGAAGGCAGATACCTAAACCACTGAGCTATCCATCAGTTGGTAGGCATAGTTTAGTAATACCAGAAGAATATATCTATGAACCACATAATTTGACTGCTTCTAAATAACACAGGGATGGGCCATATGCAGCCCCTGTCAATTTTTTGAGGGAAGCCCCTGAAATAAAGCTAAACTGAAAAACAAGATAATCAGTATGGCGAGGCACACAATATTAGGTTCATAGCAAGGTGGCATTGGTGGTTGTATCACAGTTGTAGAGCTCCATCTTCTGAAATTACCAGAATTAGAGAATACGGGTCTGGAAATTTTTGAAGACGTTTTTGTTGAACTGGTTTTCTAATTATCTGAACTATTTACCTGGTTCTTAGCACACTGCATGCCAATAATTCATGTCTGGTTATAATTCATTTTTAATTGTAAGATAGTTGTAAACAATTAGAATTAAAAAATTGTAATATGTATGATATACTTAGTAGCTGAAATCCTATTCATATATCCTCACTGTGTAAGGCTGATAATATTAATATCCATGGTGATTTTTCAGAAATAAAAAAAAATTTCCAATCCCCAAAGGTCCAGAGGTTCTCATGAAATCATCTTCATTGTAGGGAAGCTGTTGGAGGTTGTGGGATGAGGTGGAAGCCTTTTATTTCTGAAAATCTATGGAGGAATGACTTTACCAGCAGTGGTAATTTTCAGAATTAAAAGTCATCCACCTCTTGCATACATTCCCCACAGCTTCTGTAAGATGGAGAATTTCATGGGAGTTTCAGGACCTTCGAGGGAAGAGAACATAACTTTTTTTATTTCTGAAAAATCATTGCAGCTGATGGAAGTCATCATCTTTACTCAGCTTAATTTGCAGAACAGGATTTCGTTCTGTGAGAGAATATGTATTAGTTGCAACTTTTTACTCTTGTTTCAGAGTCTCTTATTCTGATGGAAGACACATTATTTAATAATGTTTGCTTTAATTAGATTATAATGTGTCATGAGCTTTCAGGATGGAACTGTTTATTTATTTACTTAAAATATTCTAAACCTCTCTTTCTCCTTAAAAAGGACGCAAGGGCAGTTTACAACAATTAAAATACAGTATTTAAAATTAGTAACAACGAGTATACAATACTAAAAGGACCAGTAAATGCAATACAAAAAAAATCAGCAACACCAAAATATATTCAATGTAGTAAAGTGCAACAATCCATTTTAAAAAAACCCCACTTGGCAGCCATTCACAAACAAACATAAGCAACACCAAAATATATTCAATGCAGTAAAGTGCAACAATCCATTAAAAAAAATCCACTTGGCAGCCATTCACTTAGGGAAAGCTTGTGTGAAGACAAAGGTCTTAAAGCTGGGGCCAGTCTAGTCTTCTCCAATGTCCCCACCAAATGGACATGTGAAGGTGGTGGGACTGAGAAAGAAGGCCCTCACCCATGTCCCCACCAAGTGGACATGTGAAGGTGGTGGGACTGAGAGGAAGGCCTCTCCTGATTATCCTAACTCCCAGGACAGGCTCATAACGGGAGATATTTGAGATAGCTTGGCCCCAAGCAGTGTAGGAATCTTAACTCCCAGGGCAGGCTCATAACGGGAGATATTCGAGATAGCTTGGCCCCAAGCAGTGTAGGACTTTATAGGTTAGAATTGGTAGAGATGGGGGTATTCTAATATGAATACTCCTGCACAGGTGATGATAACAGGGGTCCAGCCCCATGGGACTGGATGGTCCACTCACAATTCTAACACTGCTGCAAGCTCCAGGATCCTTTCTGTCATTCAGGAGCTTGTGATCTGTGAGCCACTTTTCGACCTGGCAGAGAGGCGCACTCCCCCGCATGCATGCACCCCCTTCACACACATCGCTGCCCCCAGTACTTGGGAGAATGGTCTTCAACTATCAAAAAGGTTGGGACCCATTGCTCTAAGGCATGTGCCTTCACAACTTCGCCTCCTTCCGTGTCGCTTTCTTCCTCCTCCATGCAGCAATCATTTTCAGCCCCTTTGGTTCCAGTCATGACGGAACCCCACATGGGTGGGTGGAGTCACATGTGCATGCAGGGCAAAGTCACGTGTGAGAGAAGTGGAACACTGCCCAGCGGGGCTGAAAATTAGAGGGTACATTGAAACCCGCACTTTGAATTTTGCCTGAAAATGAACAAGCAGCCAGTGGAGCTGCTACAACAGTAATTCCTGTGTCCAGCCCCAGTTAGCAATCTGGCTACTATGTTTTGGACCTGCTGAAGTTTCCAGACATTTTCCATAGGCAGACTCATCTAGAGTATGTTAACAGTAATTCAGCTGGGATGTAACTAAGGCATGTGTCACTGTGGCCAAATCAGATTTCTCTAGAAACAGGTGCAGCTGGCACACTAGTTTTAACTGTGCAAATGGATTCCTGGCAACATCTAAAACCTGGGCATCCAGACTCAGAGGTGAATCCAAGAGCACCCCTAGGCTGCACACCTGAGTTTTCAGAGGGAGTGTCACCCCATCCAGCACGGTTTGCATTCCTATTCCTGGATCTACCTTTCAGCTGACTGGGAGCACCTCTGTCTTGTCTGGATTAAGTTTCAGTTTATTCACCCTCGTCTAGTTCATTACTGACACTACACACTGATCTAGAGCCAAAAGAGCTTCATCAGATTTAGATGGCAAGGAGAAATAGAGTTCAGTGTTATCTGTGTACTGGTGACAGTACCTCAAAACTCCAGATAATTTATTCCAGTGGTTTCATGAAAATGTTTAGTAACATAGAAGACAAGAAACGGAACCCCGAGAGATCCCACAGGCCAGTGGCCAGGTTGTACAACAGGAATCTCCCAAGTCCACTTCCTGGAAGGATCTGAGCAATTGTTAAACAGTGCCTCCAAGTCCCATCTTGGAAAGATAGGCCAGGAGGATACCACGGGCAATGGTATCAAAAGCTACTGAGAGGTCCAGTAGAACCAACAGGGACAAACTCCCTTTGTCCAGTTCCCGGCGTAGGTTATCCTCCAAGGCGACTAGAGCAGTCTTTATCCCATAGTCACGTCAGAAGCCAGATTGAAATATCCCTGTCCCAACATCTCTTAATATCAAATACCATTTTGCCTTCATCCAAAAGATGAAGAAGGGCAGTCTCATAAGGTCCAAGGCAGCCTCAGACAAAGTGTGGATCACTTTGTACATAATACAGGATATAATATTGATCACAATGTTTCTGTGCAGAAGCCCTAAACCTAAGGTAGTTAAACTTGGGGTCCATTTGTGCCCTTTGCTGGACCTTGAAGGACCACAACCCCACACTCATTTTTAATACCCCAAATGGCAAATCATGCTCTGAGGTACAGTGGTGCCTCACATTATGACATTAATTCATTCCAACGAAATCGCTGTAGAACGAAAACGTCGTAATGTGAAAATAAAAAGCCCATTTAAACGCATTGAATCCCCTTCAGTGCGTTCCAACGCGCTGGAAACTCACCGTCCAGCGAAGATCCTCCATGGGTCGGCCATTTTCGGTGCCTGTGCAGCGAGGAATACGTCCCAGAAAACAGTGGGGAGCCATTTTATTTACCCGGCGGCCATTTTGAAACCGCTGATCAGCTGTCCGAAAATCGCCGTTTTGTGAAGAATCGGTTCCCGAAGCAGGGAACTGATCATTGCAAAGCGAAAAACCCCTATTCAGACCATCGTTTTGCGATCGTTTTAATGCGGTTTCATCATAATGCGGGGCAATCGTAAAGCGGGGCACGACTGTATGTGATATGTCATGATTATGTAATTTCATAGGTCCTGGGTCTGTTTCAGGGCAGAAAAGGCTTTTTCTATAAATAGGGAGTGGCCTTGTGAGAACTGAAACAATTGTTGGGTGGCAAATTAAATAAAATTGTGCACACAGAGAGGATGTGAAATGTGACATGAGGGTCTGGGGTGGCAACACTGCAAGTCTAGAGGGCTGCAAAAATAAGAGAGTCAGAGAATTAATTCACTAATCTTACAACTATATAGAGAGTTAACAAGATAAAGAGAAAGGATGGTCTTTGTTCTTCCATATTTCTGTGTTTCCAGATTTCAGCTGTAGGAGTAACAAAATAGAAATTAACATGACTCATTTTCCATTATACTGAGTTTTTGTTTTTTATTTTGATGTTTTCTGATTAGTTTTAATTCTCTTTCCCCAGGTATGCATGTGAAATTGATGTTGATGATCTTCAGAGCAGGTATAATGCTTTATGTAAAATAGTCCAAAGAGAAATAATGCTTTACCACCACTCCCCCGTCCCCAAAAAGATTGGATTTCCATATTTAGAAAGTAGGCATAAGATTTATCTGTTTCTGTTTGTTTATAGTTTTATAACATCCAAAGTTCTAGGCAAAATTTATCTCCAGAAGTGAGATAAATTGCCTAGAATTTCCCAGAAAAATCTTGGGCCATTTATCCTGCTGAGCTTCCTTTGAGACAAGCTGGGTGCGTGGTCATGCGACTCCAACTCCCTCTGTGCAGCTCTCTTCCTCCTCCGTAAACAGATTGCATTTGGTTATGGCTGCAATGGAACCCTGCACCATAGGGGCGGAGGTGTGCGCACAGAAGAGATTACATTTGGTTATGGCTGCACCATAGGGGCGGAGGTGTGCGCACATGTAGGGGCAAAGTCGCACACAGGAGAGGTGAAGTCCCATCCAGCAGGGCTGGAAATTAGAGGGTATGAGAAGACAGTCCTACCAACATAGTAATGTAGGATCACACCACCTGCACAGGTGTTACTGATTTGCAAGCAGTGATCTTTGTGAAGGGAATCTAACCTCTGCATGTGAAGTGGAAGTGGTTATGCAAACAGTGCGATCCTGAGTAGAGATGTTGGTATTCGTATATAACCCCCCCCACACACACAGGTGGAGATAACAAGTGCCCGGCCCCCTGGGGCCAGACCATCCACTCACCGTTCCACTGATGCTGCGGACTCCATGCTCCCTTCCTTGGATTAGCCACTCTTTGACCTGGCAGAGAGGCTCATCATCCTGCCTCCTGCCAAGAGACATTCTGCTCAGCAGACACTCAGTTGTGTACCAGTTTTGGAATTTTAAGCTAAAACTGTGCTTTTCCTTTACATCAGAAGCACATATCCTTATTTTGTGGTTGTAGAGTAATTTAGAACTAAATGTAGTCTTGTTAATTAACCGGTGTTCTGTAGAATTGGAAGGTATGAACTTTAACATATTTCTAGTATGTTTAAGTTTCATTGTACTGTATACTGGTATGAAATTTCATTTAAAAACCCTTCTAACTGTAATTTCCTTCTATCTGTAGTTTAAACTTATTGAAGTCAGTGTTTGAGATGTTCTTTTTTTATTGTAATTTTTAAATTTTATCCACCATTGTCCAGAATCCTATAGGATATCTGCACACAGGCAAGAGTAATCATGGAAGTTGCCATGGTTAATTGATGAGGTTTTTGGTAACATAGCCAGTTGCATGCCGCATGTGCACAGTACCTTGTCAGTTATTGACAAGTAATCACAACAGCTTCCATGATTTTTCTTGCGTGCACATAAATGTCCAGTAGGATTTTAGGCATGATTGCTTGTTTCTGTGGATGTTTTATATTGATAGGTTCTCTCTGCTCTTGTAAGTATTGACAGAGTTTAGTATTAATCTTTCTGAATTTTCATAATATTTAGATAATTTTAAGAACATTGCAATATATTGAATCATGTTCATCTTCTTTTTAAAGTCCTAATAAACAGTTTTGTGTGATAGTGGACAATTGAATAATGATATGATTTTTTACCTTTACAAATGAATAATAGAATACAGGAACATATATAAATACATACATGTGAAACCTTTCTTGTAGAATTGGATGGTTTATTTTTGTTGCATTTTTGGAAAAGTTTTTCAAAAAATGGAACAGTTCTTCCAAAAATGGAGAGAGGCTTGTGCAATATTAAATAATATATTTTAATGCCAAATATATCTGTATCGTTTTGTAATTTATTTAATGTTAATACTTCTTTCCCATAGGAGTGAAGACGAAGAGCATGTAAAAATTAAGTATTTCAGGTACTGCAACTTGGAAAAATATGATTTTCTTGAAAAGAATTAAATTTAAAAGTAATATTAGGGATCATGATCATTATATATGTGTCTACACATGTACTTGCAGTATGAGCATAATGGCATAAGTCATGATCTAGGCAGCTGTAAGTTTATGCATGTATCCTGCAAAGATTTACAGGGCAATTCAATAGATTTCTGTTGAATTGAACTGGTAAAACCTCTCCTTAAATATCTCATTTACCTAGAAAGCACTGTTAGGGTCACTATAAGTCATAGGCCTTTGGAACAGACTTCTAGGCATGTGCATTCAGAGTGGTTTTTGTTTCGTTTTGTTTTGGATTCAAATCTCAGAATTCTCTGTTCTGGGAGCTCCATGTGAATGAACTCTGTTTTATCCCTGGGAAGGTCTCCAATTTCTTGCTTGACAGAGGAAACCGATGCTAATAAACTTTTATTGAACATAACTTTGGGGTTCTCCACAACAACCTCAAATGGTTCTAAATCTCCCAGTGGGGAGGTCACATTTAACCAAGCTTCTGGGGTTGAACAAAGACCAATAACAGAATCAGGTTGGACCACCAAACCTCTCCTTGTTGGTGGGCTTTCAAAGGGGGTTGCATCCACCAGCACACAGGGTCCCACAACAAGGGTGTCTCACCCACTCCCCTTCATGGGGATGCTCTTGAGTTGGACCTCTTGCATGGGGTTCTCCCTTCCCCAAGGGCCCCCCTTTCTTGGGGTACACTAGGACTGTCCATTCCAAACCCTCAAGTTCTGACAAGTGGATTGTTATGCCTTCTCTTTCTTTCTCAGCTCCTTTCTCTCACTTTTTCCCCAGTATGATGGTGTAGGCTAGGGGGTGGCTTATGCCTTTGGCTTCTTTCAGTCTCCTCCAGGGGCAATTTCATATAAACCATCGGATGAGTCTACGGGTCTTTCAAGTTGAGCCACCCCCATCCAAGTGGCAGTTCTTCCTCACTAATATCTTTCTTCTCTTCTCCAGTTACTTCTCCCTTCTTCCTTATTTGCTGGTGTACCCGAATCTTCTGTCCCCTTTATCTCATTTTCTATCACCACGTCTCTCTCCTCCATTCCTGTCATCAGATAACCTTCTATGATTGGCTCACACCCAATCATTCTGTGTTTCCCATCTGACATCCCTCCTCCTATCTTCATCCCATTCTTTGTTTCTAGTTCCACCTACCCTCTTTCACTCCAGTCCATTAAGTGTACAGCCTCCACAGAGAGCAGGATCTTGTAGACAGTCTTGTTTCTCTTATCCTCAGGAGGGGGGGGGAGGCAGTGTGCACACAGTGTATGATGGGTCTGGTGCTGCTCCTTCACACACCTACAAGACAGACACCTAAATTGTGCTCATTTGGGGAAAGGTTGGGCTCAAAAGTTTTATGACCTCAGATGGGCAGAGCTCAGGACTGTTGCAAACTGCCAACAATACTTGCTGGGAATTCACAACAGGCACCAGGACAAGAATGGATGCACATGCGTAGTGATTTCCCAATTTCTTAAATTAGCTTGAAAAATATATTTAACACATGGTGAGTGATATATGTGTGATACTGTGTAACTTTGCCATTCTCAACCAGGGCCATATGGCTGCCTGGAGGCCCTGTCACATTTAAAGGGGAGCACAGATCCATGTATTTGTGTTCTATTCTAGTTTGCGCACAGAGGCTTCCCTTGCTTGATAGGGAGCCCTTAAACATGACAAGAGCTTCTAAAAGGGCCGTGGCCAGAATGGCTGGTGTAAATGACTGTGGTTGACAGTAATAATTACATTTTAAAATTACACTTTTTAGAAAAAAGCAAATATCCTGCCATGTCAGTTTGTAGTATTATTAACAAAAGAAGCACCTATTTGTTTTTGTTGGGCTCAGTTGTTATATAAAATTAGGCTGTAACCACAACTCTCATAGAACATGTCATAAACGGTGATATTTGCTGTAGCAAGGTTAATACAGAAATGACTTGCTTCTGTAAATATGCATGCATAATATCTAATATTATTTGTGGTGCTCAGGGGCACTTTCCACTGGTGTATTTCTATATCCAGTAGTCTACATCTGTACCCAATACCAGTGGAGTTAGGTTTTTCCACCATTTTCTCTCCTGTTGCAGATCTTTATTAAACAAAAAAATATCTGTTCCAGGTAAGTTCTTAGACCTCCAAAATAGGGCCTTGGGGTGCATGGGACATCTGTGTATGCTGCTGCAGGACCTTTTGTTTCTCTTCTTGATTCTGGTGGCAGTGGTGGGACAATAGCAGGAGTACAACATTGAATCCTTGCCTGGGTTTTTACCTCCTAGGGTTGGAGAACCTAGGAACACAACCAGAAGCCAGGAATTTTAATCCCAACTGTACCTCAAATGACAGGAACCAACTGAGATCACCCAGAATATATGTGGCTGATGCTGCTGCATGTCTTGCCACCTGTGAGGCCTTGGGCAAATTGAGCAATCCCCGAGTGCCACCAGAAAGAGAGATGTGTAAAGCACTTCTGAATACGTTATGCCAAAGAGGGCCCAGAGAGAGTTGCCATAAGTCAGAACAACTTGACCTCAAAGAGATTTTGTTGGTTGTTTTGATCAAATTCAAGTAGAACCATTGGCACCTAAAATGGTGGCTGATCTCCTGGACTTTGTCTACATCTTAGGACCTAAGACCTCCTGAATAGGGTTCATAGTCTGGGCCAAGCTCTTGTTGCCCATTTCAGTGATTCCTAGTGCCTGAACAGGACTCCGTTGTTGAGAAACCAACACATTAGCAAAACTGCCCTACAGTATCCTACGTAGCTGCATGGTTTTGAAAAGGCCTATTTATCTTTCCCTAAGCTGCTCAGAAAATGTAGCAAGTAACTTTTCCCCTCAAATAAATACAGTGGTGCCTCGCTTAGTGATTGCTTCATTTAATGACGAAATCGCTTAGCGATGACTTTTTTGGAGCGTTTTTATGCTTTGTTTAACGATGGTCCCTATGGGCGATTTTCGCTTAGCAATGGTTGGGACCATGCTTCGCATAGTGATTAAATTTTGGGGCCCCTGTTTCGCTTAATGATGGTTTAAACAGCCTCATGTTTGCTGTTTTTTACATGTTCTTCTGTTATTTATAAAGTTAAAGTTTACGGTTTAAAATGTTTGAAATCATAAAGTGCACTTAATAACCCCTTTGTTAACCAAATTTGACTTTGTTCTGACTCTTTTTTAATTTGTTGTATTTTTTTCCCCATTGAGATGCATTGAATAGGTTTCAATGCATTTCAATTGGGGAACCGCATTTCGCTTAGAGATGTTTCCTATGGCGATTTTTGCTTAAGGATGGCAATTTGTTCCTATTGGAACGGATTATCCGGTTTTCAATGCATTTCAATGGGAAACCGCATTTCGCTTAGCGATGAAATCGCTTAGCAGCAATTTTTTTTGAACCAATTAACATCGTTAAGCGAGGCACCACTGTACTCTATCACTGTGTATCTGTGAAGTCACTTAGAATGCCTTCACTGATGGTGATGCTGGCACCATCTGACGGACCACAAAGAACTGCATTCTGGCTTGGAATTAGATCCCCGCTTTTACCCAAACCCTAAAAATTCCAACTTTTATCCAGATCCTAGAGTGAAGCGAAGTGTGCATGTATATAGAGGCTGCAAGCAAGATGGACCTAACCCCACTGCTCCCTCCTTTCATCCCACTGCCTTCCAGCTGCCATGGCTGAGAAAGGGTGGCAGCAGCAGCAGCAACTACTATTCTTACTGGTTTTTCAGTAAACTGTGAAACCCAAGACAAGACAGTAGTACAGAAAAAGAACCACAGCTCAAAAGAAGCAGTGAGAAGAGAACCTCAGGAACACTATAAAAGGTTTCTTCAAATTTCATATCGCCAATGTGCATGATGTTGCAGATGCCAGTGATAAAACTATGGCTTAATTTATTGATGTCTGGAGAATGTCTTACATTTTGGATAAGAATAACCGTCATGAAAATATGTCAACATATGTATGCTCCATCTTCTAAAACAGATTTGATATGCAGCAGACCGCTTTGTGTTTATTTTTTTAAATTTGGTTGTACAGTACTTGCAAAATATCCTTTTTGTTTTGTCATTTGTATATTTAAGTTACAAATGCACAAAAATTTAAACAATGATAAACACAACACAGCAAAACCTTGAACTCTTTAGAAGAATTTTATTCTACAAATTCTGAAATGTTAGATTTTACAAAATTTCAGGTTTTACACAATCTAAAATACATGTATATTCCTGAATTTTGGCATATTGACCTGGTGTGATTTCTGTCAGAATGTTCTGAGTGTTATCTTAGCATAGTTCTTCCTTTAAATCACGTTAATAGGTGACTGATAATCATGTGTGGCATAAGGAGTTTAAAATAGATTTTTTTCAGCTGTAATAATCTAATATTAAAAAATCAATATGTATGTCACAGATTGTTTGCATGGCAGAGATATTTTAATTGAAGGTTTTATATTTTTCCTAGGGAGGCTCATAGTCAAACAGAGAAAAGAAGAAGAGACAAAATGAATAACCTGATAGAAGAATTATCTGCCATGATACCTCAGTGCAATCCAGTGGCACGTAAACTGGATAAACTTACAGTATTAAGAATGGCCGTGCAGCACTTAAAGTCATTGAAAGGCAAGTAAGGAGTACTTGGTATTAAAAAGCAGTTTTTGTTTTAGTAGCTACACCAGTGCAGAGTGGCTTGTACAAATGTAAAAGCACTAGCGTTCTATGTGGGATGGCAGGCTGCTCTATGAGGAGTGCTGGGTTCTAACAGACCTAGATACAGAACAAAATGATTTTAACGTAATAGATCAAAGGACTGATCTAATATTCAGTGGTTTTCTTGTTATTACAAGTACTTTCTCTTAGGAGCAGAAATATTTAAACCAGGGGTCTCAAACACGCGGCCCGTGGGCCATTTGTGGCCCGCCAGACAATAGTTTATGGCCTCCGCCTTGCCTGCCCCCTCAAAGCACCCACGTGTCTTCTGCTGTCAAGAGTAAAAAAAAAAGCCTTGCCTCACTCACGGGATCTCTCTCAAGACAGCGCCCCTTGCATCCTCATCCTCCTCTCCGTCCTGCTTCAGCCGCCTCAGCTCTGAAGGGTGCATGGGCTCACCGTGCAAAGTTTGCTTCTCTGTCGTGGTGGGGGGTAGCTGCTGCTGCCGCGTGTATCTATTTTTGAGTGGGGCCCTCATAGGAAGGTTGCCGGACCTCCATGTGTGTGTGTGTTTGTGTGTGTGCGTCCATGCACCTGTGGGGGGTGCCCCGTTCTGTTTAATTTCGCAGGTACCAGTGGGGGCTTTTCTCCTTTGGCAAGGTAAATTCTGTGAGGGTTTAAAAAAAATCATGCCCTTCTCCCCCCGGCTAAGCGGTCGCCGGCGCTCCCTCCCTTCTCTGCTTCTTCATCCTGCTGCTGCTGGTGGTAGTGAAGAAGGAGCCGGAGGGGTTCGTGGCTGGCAATGAGGGCTCGCACACCCCTCCTCCCCCTCCTCCTTGGAGCCCCAGCTGGGCTAAGGAAACTCCTGGGCAGCTTTCTCAGGCTCTTGCTCCGCTTGGCAGAAAATCTGATGCGGCCCAGCCTCACCCAGCCTCTGCCTCCAGCGGCCCCCAGGTAAATTGAGTTTGAGACCTCTGATTTAAACTGTTTTGATGGAATGTATTGGTTCTGGGAGGGTATAGCATGAGCTGCTTGTTTCGAAACGGTTGAATGTTACTTCGATTTTTACCACTGTATATTTCACATTCATCATCCATATCTGTCATATTTGGGAAAAGGTTTGTAGACATGGATTGGACTGGCTTATAGATATGTGGAATGGACCACAAACATATGGAATGAAAGCCAAACGGAGCACAAAAAACCACTGCCAGTCTAGTGGTTCAAATAGCTGCTTTGAGTGTTGATAGCAACCTACCCTGTCAGTGAAGATATGGCTTTGCTGTCTTTGGGATAGAATAGGAGAGTGGGGCACTGACAGCAACAAAGGGGATGGTTTGAATCTGCAAGAACGTATAGTCATGGAAACCTCCAAAGGAAGCACAAAAGATTAGATGAGCTGTAGTAGCTTGATTATCTTAATTGTCCACTGTTTTGAATACTCTTCTGGCAACCACTGATTTGAGAGCAATACTTTCCTTTCTGCTTCAGCTATTTCAGTTCCTCCCAGGGTTTTTTTGATTACCATAAATTTGGCTGTTTCCCAGTGGTTTGTACAGAATAGGTGGGATTCGATCACAAAGTGTTTTCTTCTACTTGCTCGTTGCATTTACGAAATGTATGTTCCCCAGAGGCCCCTCAGATCAAGTTCCTTGTTAAATACATCAGTTTCTAACAGGGGTCTCAAACATGCTGCCCAGGAGCCATTTGCGGCCCGCTGGACAATAGTTTGTGGCCCCCACCTTGCCTCCCCCCCGAAGTGCCCACGTGTCCTCTGCTGTCAAGAGTAAAAAAAAAGTCTCACCTCGCTCGCTGGTTCTCTCTAAAGACAGCGCCTCTTGCAGCCTCCATCCGGAACTGCAGCCTGCCAGCCAGCCCACCTGTCTGCCAGCTGGCAGGCTGCAGTTCCGGATGGAGGCTGCAAGAGGCGCTGTCTTGGGGGAGAGCCAGCGAGCGAGGCACACTTCTGGCCCTTTTTCCCGAGCGCCCGAGCTGCCACTGAGCGATGCCTGAGAGCAGAGCTTGCTCCCGGCCTGTCCTCGAAGAGCGCCTCCAACAGCACCGCCAATAGCAGCTGCTGCTGCCGCCGCCGCCTCTTCCAGGGAAGCACCTCTTTGGCTCTCTTTATCTCTCGGCACCCCTAGCACCAGCCCAGCCAGCAGCCACCTCAGCACCCGGCGGTGCTTCCCCCTCCTCCTCTTTGTACTGCTTCAGCCGCCTCGGCTCTGGAGGCTGCCTGGGCTCACTTCACAAAGTTTTCTTCCCTGTTGTGGTGGGAGTAGCGGCTGCTGCTGAGTGTGCCAGACCTCTCTGTGTTTAAGGGCTCACACACTCGTCCTCCTCCTTGGAGCCCTAGCCAGGCTAAGGAAACTCCTGGGCGGCTTTCTTGGGCTCTTGCTCCGCTTGGCGGAAAATCTGATGCAGCTCAGCCTCAGCCAGACGCTGCCTTCAGTGGCCCCCAGGTAAATTGAGTTTGAGACCCCTGGTTTATATTATAGGACCTGGCAAAGGGATTATAAAAGGTTTTTGGTGTCCCTGAGATGCTGCCCAGTGAAAGTTCAGGTAGCCATTTCCCTTGGTGTTGGATGAGCAGGGTTTTGCCAGTTTGTTAATGTTCACTTGAAATCATACAGTATGAAAAATGTTTAGCAGTGGATGCAGGGATTATGAAGTGAAAGAAGCTAAACATAGCGGTAGACAAACTACACTGTAGAAAGAGCTGGTATGGTCACTGCAGGAGGTAATCCTGGAAAGTAGCTGGATGAATGCAAAGGAAATACCCCAGCATTGCAGCAACCTGTTGATCTAACACTAAGATAAATAATTCTAATCAAAATAAAGTAAAATAAATTTTGGGGTGAAAAGGAGAGAGCTCGTAGGGGTGGATGTTCTGACAGTCACAAAGAACATGTGATTTAAGACATCACCTTCAAAACCACCCCTGAATGCCTTGAACCAGTCCTTTCACATGCCCCTGTTGCTTTTCTTCATCAGCAGAAGTGATGCATACATCTGAACTGATGTGAATAAATTTACTTGCAAGAAAGTAGAAGCCCCAGTGATGGAGGGAGAAAAATACAGAGGGAAATCCAGGCTGATTCACATTGAGCTGTATATTGTGTAGTTCAACAGAAAAGACTACAAATCTAACTGTGCCGATCCTGGAACTATACTATTTGTCAATGTAGTTACTGCATAAGATTCTTGATAACTTAGTATTAGCTGGCAGTATAAACATTAATAATTGTGTGTTAAGTAGTAAGAAGTCTGTTGCTTACATCAGAAAATAATAGGAAAACTAATCTGTGAAATTAAGGGAGTTTGAGCATGTCTGATGACTGGTTCCCTTACAATAAACATAATCTGTGTAATCACAACTATCCAGGTAATGTAAGGCAAGACATACATCCAAAAATGTCTGTGCCCTCATTCCACGTAGTACTCCTGCCAAATACAATTTTCCAGTTACGACTGTTGTTGCTCATACTGTGGTGGGTTTTGTCTTCTTCCCATTCATTTCTGCATCTTCTGTATACTCTTGGGTGACTATTTACCTGTTTCTGTTGGGAAGAAAATTGATTCAGTATTTCAAAATATAATTCCCCTGATCTTTTTCCTGTCCAGTTGAAATAGCTGGCTACCTCATTATGTGCATTTTTTCCATTCACAATTGGTTTTTCTTGTAAACTGATAATTGACTTTCATGCCAAATTTTCTCTCAGAGAATATGAATTTTAAATGAGTACTAATGTGTTTGTATTATTTCCACCTGCTAATAATGAAGGATTTCATGTAAAGCCTCTCTTTTTGGTATGGATTAAATCTACTTCTTAAATAACTGCTATGTTACAGGTTCTACTAATTCTTACTCGGAGATCCGCTATAAGCCTTCATTTTTACAAGATAATGAACTCCAACACTTAATCCTTAAGGTAGGTTAAGAAAAGTCAATTACAGCTTAAAATAGCCACTTAACACAACATTACTTGCTTCTAAAACATATGTATTTCACAATTATCCATGGGATCCTCTAGTTCAGGGGTGGGCAACTAATTTCTGTGGGGGGGCACATGAAAAATCTGAACTGTGTTCAGGAGCCGAACCAACTTTACTTAAAAATAAAATGAAACAGTGATGTTATGATTGTTTTTATTTTAAACTTGTTAATCTTTACAAATACTAAAGAGCTTTTTTTGCAGTATGTTAAAGATAAGCAACTGATCAACTTTAGACAAAAAGCTATAAATTGTTTTCATGTTCAAAACTGTCTGCGGGCCGGACAGGAGTGGCTCGTGGGCCATATGTGGCCCTCGGGCTGCATTTTGCCCAGGTCTGCTCTTGTTGAATTATATATATAGCAAACACTAGAATGGGTGCTATGTTAGCACCGCAAACTCCTCCCCCCATTCCAAATGCCCAAGAGGACATGGCAGTAAGCTTGTTAGATTTTTAGGTAACAGATTTTTCTACTTAAAACACAAGCATAATATTGTTTAGAACATTTTAAGAAATAATTCTGAGGTCAGTAAATATGTATTATGGAAATACATGTTTTTGATGTTTAGATGCAAATAATTTGATCAGAATATTGATTTCCATTGTATATCTCCACCAGCTAATATTGCATCATTTTAAAATTGCTGCATTTTAACATAAGATTTAGATGAAATTATAGGCCAGAACTCTGGAGTAGAGATGGACACAACTTAAGTTTAAGTATGAAGTAACCTGTGTGGCAGCACAGGTGCCATGCAGATCCATCCCATACCCTTGTGGCAGCTGGGACACTCACTTTGTATTATGTGCCACCAGGCTCCTTTTTCTCTGGCAGCGCTCCAATCTGGACAGGAGCTTGCACTGGCCATCTCCACTTCTTCCAGCAGCTGACCACTCCAAAAAGGAGGCAGGATGGAGATTTTCCCTGCACAGCCAATGAGTGGTTGGCTGTCAGAGGAGGCCAGGCCAGGCAGCCCGAGCTCCTGTCCAGATTGGAGTGCTACCAGAGAAGAAGGACCCCGATTTGATTAGGCATCCTTCAGTCTCAAGAGACTATGGTAACATGCTCTGAATAGAGGTCTTGGAACAGCATCTAATGTGGCTGAGAAGGCCAATTCGAGAGTGACAATCCCTTCCACACTGAAGACAAATACAATCTGTCCCCTGACCAGCTCCCTGATTTTGCTGGGTTTGGGACTGCCTCTTTGCTTCGGTCTGCTGGACAAGTGTCTCTCCAAAATGGGATAGGCCATGATGCACCGCCTGCCTCCAGGCTGAACGCTCAGATGTCAAGGTTTCCCATCTGTTGAGGTCCATTCCTAAGGCCTTCAGATCCCGCTTGCAGGTCTCCTTGTATTGCAGCTGTGGTCTCCGTCTGGGGTGATTCCCTGCACTAATTCTCCATACAGGAGATCTTTTGGAATCCGACCATCAGCCGTTCCCACGACATGCCCAAGCCAACGTAGACGTCGCTATTTCAGTAATGTAGACATGCTAAAAATTCCAGCTCATTTTAGGACTTCTCTATTTGGAACTTTGTCCTGCCAGGCGAAACAAAAAATGTGTCGGAGACAACACATATGGAACGTGTTCAGCTTCCTCTCCTGCCGTGCACTGCAGTACAGGAGTGTGTTCAGGACACGGGCTCTATACACTTCGGTCTGGGTATATGTCATCAGCTTCTTGTTAAGCCATACAGTGGTATTTCAACTTACGACTGTAATCCGTTCCAGAAGATGGGCGTAACTCGAAATGGTCATAAGTCGAAGCACCATTTCCCATAGGAATGCATTGAAGTGCAATTACAGTGGTGCCTTGACTTACGAATGCTTTGACCGACGATCATTTTGAGTTACGGGCAGCTCAGTTCACAACATTTTGCTTTGACTTGCGAGTGGAGCTTTGACTTATGAACAGAAAAAAGGCAGGGGAAAAGGGCGGGAAATTCAAATTTCTAACTGTAGGTGGCGACCAGGATGCTTCTTTGTAGCTCTTTTACCCGGGCAGTTAGAGAGTGTGCAATCTGAGGAGGCTGCCTGCTAAGAAAATGTATTGCTTTATACTTTTAAAAAACTATTCTTGGTATTTTTGCAGCGTGATTTTCGGCTGGAGGGGTTGTTTCTGTGCTGTGATAGGTCCTGGGGGATGTTTGTTTTTTTGGTTCCCTGCCATTTCTGATGGGTCTTGGGGGGCTTGGTTGCTTTGGGGGGGTTCCCCTATTTTCGATGTGTCTTGCATACTTTTTGCTTTGTTCTCTTTGCATTTCTGATCTGCTCCATTTGTTTTTGCAATGGTTCATGCATGCTGCCCTTGCTTTTTTTGCTTTGTTCTCTTTGCTGTGGTCTAAAATGCAGTTTAGCCTTTTGCTTTTAAAGTCAGAAATGGTTTTGCAAAGGTTTCTTCTGATTGCAAAGGTTTCTTCTGCATTTTAGTCTTTTGGTTTTAAAATCAGAAATGGTTTTGCAAAGGTTTCTTTGGCTGCTGGGGGTCTAAAATGCAGTTTAGTCTTTTGCTTTTAAAATCAGAAATGTTTTTCCAAAGG